TTCGAACCCGAGACCTTCCGGCTATATGCTATTTGTATACACAGTTCCAGCTAACATTAAAAGGTTATCTATTGACTTTTGACTGCACCAAATAGCATGCTGTAAACGAGAACTAGTCAGGACTCTGTACTATTGAGCAAGGAGAATTTGCTCTGCAGAGAAACTAAAGGAAGAATTTATGTTTCTCGAAAAGGTGTTGAAAAACAACGGTTATCCTCAAAGATTCATTAACAAATATGGAAGATGTGAGGACTCAAACATCACACAAATCACAGCGGAGAAAAAGCCTGCTGTCAAGGAACTTAGCCCTAAGTTCCTATTGTAACGAAGACTTAAGCGATTGAACCGATAAACACTATGTATTTCCTTCAACTTTAAATCCAAAACACCAGTATTCCTTGAACGAAATTATATTGTTTGACAATTAAAGTGAAGAAAACTACAAAGTCTGCAAACAAATGTTATGTACAAATGAAGTTATAAAGTACTTTTATTCGTATTTAATTCCAGTCTTCTTTCAACTTGCAAGAGATCGTTCCATTCGCACCTTCAATTGCCTGCCAGTGGCTGCCAGACCCAGTAAAACAAACGTTCAATGTTCACGTCCATTGACACTCCCCGGCAAAAAAGGGTCCACCCCTTTTTTCCACAACGGCGGTAACCTTGAATTGAACTGCCAATGCGGGAACCTGGGCCAATCGGGACTAGGCTAAAATTGGAAAAGCAAGACAAAAAAGCCCAACACACAGCAAACAGACCACATCACACCGACACGCTCTCCCCGGCGCATAGGGTCTACGCTCTCTGACGACAATACCACCACTGATCTCGTTCACAAAGTATCGATTGCTTCATTCCACTCTAGCCCAATCCTCTCCCCGGCGTATCCAATCGCGTACGCTGACTCTAACATTACACGATTCACTCACAAGTTTAGAAGCGAATTCAGAAGTGCTTACAAAACATTACAAGATGATTCACACAATGCGACAACTATAAAATTAACCGACAATCAGATGAATCGGCACCCACTTAATTACTCAACACAAACATATGTACAATCAATACATCAAATATTGCGGATTCTGCCTTGACGAGCTACCCTTGAAGAACTGTAGGACTTACAGCAGTACGCCTACATTTCTTCTCAGGTTGACGATCCAGGTGGAAGACGTCCGGACACAAACAAAGTTAATCAACACATAGAAGAGGGATGATACCAATTGATTATATACAACATGAACATATATACAAAATAATACACCAAGTACGATGGACCGCTCTTCGACGTACTACCCTTCAAGAATTGTAGGACTTACAGTAGTACGCCTACAACTCATCTCAGGTTTACGCCCTCAATTTGGAAAATCGTCGTTGAGCTCATTTGCTGACCTCCTTCCACCATCTATATCCTCGACTCTGAATGGTAACACGCCCATGACATTGTATCGTGGAAGGTAGATGACTAACAAACATACGACGTATCTGACCAACCAAGCGAATGTACACAGTAATTTGCACCAAAGATAATAACATTCAAATAGTAGTTTGAAACCTGAAATGCCTTGATTCGTGCAAGTCAGTCTAACAGTTACCACCCAGTACACAGTTGGCTTATCGTCACTAAACTGGCCATTGACTATCGTCCCTTCGAACGGACCAACACTAGCATAGTCACTGCATAAGACACGTTGATTCATGGACTGCTCTTTTACTGCACATGACAACACCAACGACGACTGGCTGACACCAGTTGATGAACTTAGCGGTGTATCAGAAGCTGTTGTTGTTAGACCTTTAGGAGGTTGTCTAACCACAGGATTACCACCACTGCTATCTTTTATTATTGGCTCCAGTTCAGTTTTAACATCTGTCGATAGTTGGGCTACACTCGGATCACTTAAACTGACGGCCTCACGAGTATCCATATCTGCAGCAACCGCATCTGCCTTTAATTCTACTTTACGTTCAAGTTGTACAGAACCTTTAGTCAACTCAGTAGTAGAAGGCATTCCGCTAATCTCATCATGATCAGCCACAGACAAATGTGAACTACCGTGACCATTGTCACAAATACCCACTTTACCGCCGTCTGTATCATCGACTTCATCATTTTCACACTCTTTAATAACAGCCGTAGATGACTCAGGTTCTTCCTCATGAATCCTTAAAGGTTTTATTCCTTTACTCTGACTAGTAATACCTTGTAAACTTGTGGAGTCAGAACTGGACATTGAAACTGTAACCCTCTTCTTATGCACAAACTGCGGTGTCGTCTGAGACACTCTTTTCAACAATGGATTATCAGTTACGACAACAGGCTTCTTCACCGCACCATTATCGTCACACGATTCGGAGTCAGAACACGATGACGCTGACTTCACATTTAGCTTGCCACAAAACTTGCTCGTTGCTTCACAGTTCGCCTTTGCATGCACTTCTTGCAAACGGACGAAGCACAGCCGTGTTTGTCTTGCAGTTTGTAACTTATCCGTTGGGGACGTCCCGCTAAAGCTGCCACAATCATTAGGTTTACTAGACACCATACAGCTTTCTCGATATCTACTACACTGAGACCCCTTCGTCATAAATGATTGCATTCTACTCTCTGATTTCTCTATTCCAGGGGTAGAATGCAGTATACTAGCAAACTTGCTCAAAGCTTGGTTGACACTGTCTTTCACCAGGCTCACAATGTCATCCAACCCGGGCTCTAAACCCTCCTCCTCTAGACGTGAACAAACTTTTATGAACTTCCTTTGTAGACGAACAGGTAATCTCTTGGCGACAGTCTCAAGCACGGAACTTGAGTTCAATTCATCTACGCAGTTAAGAGACATGAGTGTATTTCTATATACCATCAAATTATCCAAGAACTCTGCAAGTTCCTCTGCATTATCGTTTAACTGGGATCCGTTACCTTTCACTGTCTCGAAAATACTACGGGATATCATATATGGTTTTCCAAATCTTTGACGTAGTATCTTCATGGCCTCAGTATATCCTTCGTTTGGGGGCATAAACTTGCAGCACTGTATGGCTCTTGCAGCTACACCAGTGCAATATCTCAACAAATACATTAACTTCATTTCATCATTTAATACAAAACCACTCAGCATGACCTCAAACTCTTTAATGAACTGTGGGTAGTCGGCTGGGTTTCCATCGAAGTATCGCGGTTCAAACTTAGGCAGTCTTAAACCCTTACTGTCACTTAACGGTGAGGCATGAACACCAAACTTAACATGCTGAGCATCATACATATCATTACAATTAACAGGCAACTCATCGTTACTTACTTTTTTGTCTGCTTCCACGGTGCCAAGTCCCTTTCTTGACCCAGGCATTATCCAACGTCACCAAAAATCCAAATTGCGTTGATAATCCTTATCCAAAGAGAAGCTGGCTGCAGATCAAGTAAGTACACCCGGAAGATTTCCAGAAGGCGCCACGAAGACCAAGAAAAGAATAAAAACTGTCAAGGAACTTAGCCCTAAGTTCCTATTGTAACGAAGACTTAAGCGATTGAACCGATAAACACTATGTATTTCCTTCAACTTTAAATCCAAAACACCAGTATTCCTTGAACGAAATTATATTGTTTGACAATTAAAGTGAAGAAAACTACAAAGTCTGCAAACAAATGTTATGTACAAATGAAGTTATAAAGTACTTTTATTCGTATTTAATTCCAGTCTTCTTTCAACTTGCAAGAGATCGTTCCATTCGCACCTTCAATTGCCTGCCAGTGGCTGCCAGACCCAGTAAAACAAACGTTCAATGTTCACGTCCATTGACACCTGCCCTTATTCAACTAGATTTTAAAGGTGAAAACATTGCAGTAATGGTCAAAAGAAGACTGAGGACGTCGCTATCAGCCAGAGCCTTTCCTGCAGCTAAGTTGGTTCCCATCTATTGGACAACTTGCTCTTTGGTGCAGTCAAAAGTCGACGACAGATACCCTCCTCATGTTAACTTCAACTGTGTATACAAATTTGCGGGAGCAGTTACATTGGGAGAACAGAGAAGGAGGGCATACCTCCGATTTTCTGAATACGTACCGAAAAGCCTACGGCTCAACAGAAGGAACTCTCGTGATAGTGCTATTATTAGACACCTTTTTAATATGGTTCATGAGGTGGAAATCGCGAAATCCTTTAAATTATCAATAGACAAAGGAGCTCGATTCTCTTCAAGTTTGTCGAAGCAATTTCTATCAAACGCTTGAAACTAGATTTATGTGTTCAGAAAGAAGCAGTTATTAGTCTTTCCTTGTCCTGTCCGGTAACTGGATGTCTTTATTCTCTCTCGCCTCCACTTGATTTCGTAATATTTGGCTTTAAACTCACCCCCTTGACATAGTGTAATTTTGCTTGTCTCTTGTTTCTATGATTTGAGTTGAACTCAGTACATGGTTACCTAAATTATTAGTCACTCAGCATCTTACGCATCTCTCATCTTTATTACGTAACTCTTTTCATTGAATGTATACATTTATTTTGTTTAAACTTGAACTGCCTGTGTAAAAACCATATAAGCGTAATTTCCTGAGCACTGTTCACTAATTGTGGAACTTTCTGTCAACTGACACCATGAGAAAAAATTTGCAAGTATGTTAAAACTTTTCTGTACATAAACCTCATAATTTATTTAAGCTGTAAGCAAGCACCTGATGAGAAGCCAACGAAACAGGCAATGATGGTACCATATTATTCTGCACAAACCATTTCTGTTGTTCTTGCTTTATTCAAATTCATGATGCAATCCTGTAGTCAGTCAAATCAAATCCCCGCAAACCAACACTTGAAAGGCAGGTTATTGTTTGGTATGTGCCTAACGTGTCCAAACAAACAGTGACCTGATGTCAAGGTAGTTAGATACAGCACTTCGGAAAAAAATGTGTTAACCTCTGTATTTGATAATAATTTATTGAAAATCTTTTTCAGCCCTACTTTCAAATTATAGATTATGTTATAACATTATTCTGTCTTTGTGAATAGGTTTCACAATCTACTTTGCTTATGGATATTGGAAGAGTTCTGAGAGGAAAGTCAAGAAGTAAAAAGTGAGTAAGTACTTGATGATTTTCGATTCGATTGTTGACCTTGTAATAACAGATCGTTTCTTGAAAAAATCAACAGATATTTATAGATTTTTATGTACATTATTATTAGCGTTATTGTTAGCAGAGAAGCAACATCTTCTGATTGGTTGTTTTCTTGCTGAAGGTTATTCTGTACTGCTTGTGACCGTTTCTTAGAAAGTTAAGCCATGTATCTGCGAATCGTATTTGCACACTTTAAGTCTGCTGTGATTGGTTGTTGAGTTCCTCAAGGTTAAGCTTTGTTATTGTTTTTCTCATGACCGTGATTTGGGACGTGAACACTTACGTAAATTGTCGTCTACAATTTTTCGGCTTACAGACAGCTCTCACGACAAACAAGGGAACTGAAATCAATCCTAGGTCAAACTTGGAAAACAAATCAAACCCTTAAAAAATAACTTCTGAAAATTAATCTGACGCTCTCTAGTGACTGTTTACAGGACCGTGTCCAGTAGGGTCCGCCTGATCAGTAGTGGGGACAAACACTCACCAATGATGCTGGCTTTTGGTTGCGCTAAACCCACAAATTCTTAGAAGTTAGAATTCATGGGCTGACCATTGAGTCGAGCGGTTCTCAATGGGTGAGTAGCCTATGACCTTGACTTGTGACCGGAAGGTTCTGGGTTTGAAACCCAGTGGACGTGTATTTCCAGTTAGTCTGAATCTAGGCAGAAACAGCTATCCAGTAGTCTGGTACTAGTTTTCAATGGTTCTCTAACTGACAGAAATCTGTGATCAAACTTTAAAACGAATGAACACATTAGTTGGCAAAGAGACCCATCTCTTTTCGTAAATTCAGATTGACAACAGAAGTCAGAGATTATTGTCAGTTAATAGCAACGCAAATTAAAGTGCATGAGTAGTAAGAATGCCTGAAGAATTATGGATAGTCTTACGAAATCACGGGAAAGGTAGAGAGAGAGCAATGGCAACTAATCAGTTGAGTGACGAATAGTCGTTTGAAAACAGTCGATAAGAGACAAGAGAATAAGAGATTGAAAGGGCGTTGCAAAACCATAAAACAGACAATATAGGGCCTATTATACAGTCATTTAGGAAGAAATAAACACAAGCAGAAGTGGATCTAAGTTCATGGTAGTAAAAGAAGCTGAAAAAATGTTTCTGAACAGAAATTTCAGGGTTCTTGTTACGCATTGCTAAGGCTTCGACTGTATGAAGAAGCTCTAGATGGAATCCTTTCGAACAATTTGGTCATACTATATATATGACTGTGAAAGAAGTCTCTGCTGATGCTGTATGACCAGAAGTAGTGATATGCTCCAGGACTTAGCTGTTAATTGTTTTACACTCTCCTTTTGGCAACCGTGCCGGTAAGTGCTCATGAGCACGTCTAGGCAATGTCCTGCTGGTGCGGTCTACAAACATAATTCCGCAAGGGAAAGTGAATTATTAAATACATACTGCATTTAAAATCAGCGGGATATTGTCTTTTAAATTTTTGTGAATAAGAGCATGTGTGGAGAAGGTGAAGCGTAGAGGTGCTGCGAAGAATTACTGAAATTCTAAAACCACTTAAAAGCTATTTCGTCCTCCTTGGGAACCTTTCAACAGGATGTATCCTATAACAGAATTTTATGTAAAAACGACGGTTTTTGTATGAATTTTGGGGATTTGGTGTGTGTGCTAGGTTTGAAAGTGTGGTTTTACGCAAAACGGCCTCTCCACATAACTCTAAGACCCTGTATTCGATCTGCTGCATGATCAGGGCTGAATATTGCATAACAGCTCCAAGGTAGGAGAAAACGCCCTGCTAGTATTTTTATATATATGTAATATTTATATCTACTTTTTCACAAATATTTATGCCTTTTCTCTCTATCTCTCTCTGTTTTTCTGTATCATTCTAATCAAGGTAAAAGGATTTGGTATCAACTATCGTCTCTTGATTCCATCATCGCATAAAATTTCTATTGTCTTTCTCTCTCTTAATGAGTTGTGTTCATCTCTTTATCTTCAATCGCTCTCTCTGTCCCTCTCTCATTATTATTATTTTTCTTAACAATCGTATCAATCAAGTGAATAATTAGTTAATCCTTCTACTCTTATTTTTAATGCTTTTTGTTTAAATTTGACAAGGATTTCTGTATTGATATACAAAAAATTATCCATAAATGTATATAATACAGAATGGAAATAAATACATCCTTGTTCTCGGTGATTTTTCTGTGTTTTTGTGTGTTGTGTTTCTCCCCTTTACTCTTTTGCAAAATAAAATCTGGATGGAAGGTTGATATAACTCTTCTCCAACCCCCACCCACCTACACACACAAACATATACCTGCGAAAAGGAGGCCTCATGCCATAGTGAGTACGTATGTGGCTCACTCGTAGGATACTCGCCAGCCATGCAGGTGGTCCGAGGTTCGAACCCCGGCCAACGACGCACCTCTTTACCTCGCTAAGCCAGTAATAGGATTGACAAAGAGGGAAGGTTGGGTATGAGGCTGGCTAGCAACCTCATCCCGTAAAAATAAACACCACTGCTACTGAAACTTCAAGCCCTACAGGCTTGAAGCCCTTCTTATGTTCCACTGGGAACGTAAAGCAATAAGAAAAAAGTGACACAGTGAGTATGAAGAATTCATCTATTCATGAGTATTATCGTTTAAAATAAAAGGATCAAATAAAAACAAATTATTATTCCATATTAGTTTGTTTATTTGATATATCACAGAGTGAAACAGTATTATTTACTGGATGGCGTTTCGAACAAAATTTATTGTTCATAATCATATCAATTATAATCACACAACTTTGACACTTGAGTTTTATAGTTTTCAAGTCACGGAATATACACATTTGATCATAGGGAATAAAAAGACAGTTGCAGCGAAGAAAATTTTCTTTTCGACGAAGTCATCATCTAGGCTGTACATTCGTGTATTTATATCAAATGGATGGGAAAGTTCCAGAACAATTTCTGGTTAGGGGTTGAATTAATAAAAATTACAATTAGGAATTAGAATGCCATAATAAACAGTGGGATGGGTAAAACTCAAACAAAGTAGCATCACAATAACTAAGAAGATTGACATTGTGCAATTGGGGGTTAGAAATGTAGAAATAACAAAATAGACAGGATATTTGGGTAAAAAACTAATGTGATGAATAATTGTTTATGCAATCAGGGATTAAATATGTAGAAATAGTAAAATGACAAAATAAACAGGAACTGTAGATATGAAAACATGGTAGTGTAGACAGGGATTAAGAAAGCTTAAAATAACATGAATAAACAGGAAGTTTAGATAAGAAAGGCGACGAGATCGTCATTACTAAAAAAATTTACCTGTTTATGATGGCCATGGCAGGGACAGGGGTTGGACGTATTTCTTTTGGATACAAAGGGTGGGTTTGAGTTTTTGGATAGCTAACGCCTCAGCTATGCCCAAATGTCTTGATTTCTTTGTTCTCTCCTATTTGTCGTTTGGGTAGTAGAATTTTCCAGATATCGGGGACAGGTGATGAATCATTCCTATTACATGTATTTGTAGTTGATTCGATAAACAAAGCTTCTGTTATCAATCTCTCCCTATACCCTGTGACATTAGATTTTAAAACTGTCATCCTATCCCATCCTATTGTGTGGTTGTGTGTAACTGCATGTAGTGCTATAGCTGAACTATTCTCTAGATTTCTTATCTTATTCGGGTCAACCAATCGAGATTTTGCTAGGTTTATATGTTCAGCTAGTCTGACTGCCCCTGTTCTACTAGTTTGACCTATGTATTTGACCTGACAATCATTACAGGGTATGAGATAAACTAAATTGTTTTGTTTTAAGGGCTCTACAGGATCCTTTAACCGACAAAGCTTGTTTCTAATTGAGTTTGTGTATTTGAATGCCGTTTTTATTCCTGCCTTGTTAAGAATTCTGCGTAAGGCTTCCGAGGTTCCTTCCTTGTATGGAATTACTACTGATGATTTAGATTTCTTATTATTGGTGTCGTCATTAATATTATTATTATCACTATTATTATTAACATTATTATTATTATCACTATCGCTATCGCTACTATCATTATTTATTTTATTTTTACATTTCCTTACATATTTCTTGATTAATTTATCTGGGTAATCATTAAGTTTCAAAGCTTCTTTTATGTGTATCAGTTCCTGTTTTAGATTTCCTTTGGTACTACTTAGTTTTTGTGCTCTGTCACTTAAACATTTCACCAATCCTATTTTTACTGACAATGGATGGGACGATCGGAAGTCTGAATATCTGTCGATGGGAATATCTGCAGCAGTTTGTTTTTCATTAATTTCTTCCTCTTGAATTAGTCTTTCACAGACGGATACCTTTCGATTTACGTGTATTAATATTATTGCTTCCTTTAACTCCTAGAGGAACATAGGGCTTCAGCCGTGCGTCTCCATTGCCTTCGGTTCTCTGCTAGTGTTTTCACGTGGCTCCATACTTGTCCACATGCTTTCATCTCCTCTTCACATCACCTCCTCCAAGTCACCCTTGCACTGACGACCAACTCGCCGCTTCCCTTTCGGGTCCCACTCGAGCAATGGCTTGTCTAGTGATGTCACTTGATGGTTTCCTCAGAGTATGACCAGCCAATCCATCTCCATTTCCTTCTGCATATTTGTTGCACAATCGGTTCCTGGTTGGTTCGCTCCCAGGGATCTCTATTATTGATCTTTTCTGGCTGGCCATCTGATCTTGAGTACTGAGCGAAGACAACTGTTAATGAAGATCTGTAGTTTGTTCGAGATGCTCTTTATGACGAGCAGTGCAAGTCTCTGATCCATAAATTAACACTGACTTCGCATTGGAGTTGAAAATCCGGATCTTATTTTTGATGCTGAGTAGTGCTGTTGACCTCCACACAGACTTGAGAGTAGTGAAAGCTTGCCTTGCTTTCCCGATCCTTGCTTTGATATCCTCGTCAGTTCCATTCACCTGTAGTTGAAACGATGCTTCC